AACATATATTACCGCCCGCGTTTTCCATAATTAAACTCGAATTTGAGGATATCTCGAAATAAGTAACGAAAAACATCGGCGCCTGAGCTAGTTATTTTCAAAGAAAATCTTAAGTGGAAATGCTGAACCATTAAATGATACGATGCAATCTGCGCACTCTATTCTAAGGGATCCAGAACTTGAACGGAACTAACAGGTCACGAAAGAAAAATTGGCCAACGCATGGGTTGCCCGTGCGAAGATGCGTTTTTTGCATAGTTTCCCGCAGTTTTTTTCGCTACCGGCATCGGCTTCTTTGGCAAATGCTTCTAGCTGAACAAATTAAGACTGTTCGCCAGAACTGGCAGGAAACAGCCTGTTAAAATTTCAGCTTTCTAGCTTTCCTAGCTCCTGAATTACCACCTACTTGGACGGGGAAAATCACCGTAAGATTTCAGCATTCTAACTTCTCAAATCCCCGAGTTATGGACTTACCTCAAAAAAATTTTGGCGAGCCCGTACGCGGGTGATGGCGCTAATTTTGGGGATTGGGGCCGGCATGTAGATTAAGTTCCCGAAATTTCAGCCCTGCAGCTTTTATAGGTTTTGAGATGAAAGTTCATGATAGATGCACACACAGAAACACGAACACACAGACAACCTCTCGTCAATATGCGTTTTTGCATTGCATAGCTGTAAAAAACGCATAAAAATGAAACTACGCATTTCATATGTATTCCGAAATTAGTATGCTCTCCATTAATGGGCTTAGAATACGAGGACTTCGAACATAACTATGCCGTATTAAAAAAAAAGCTAACTTCTATAAAAAAAATAAACCCAGTGCTGCAAAAGACAGGAATGGAACTTAAGGATATCGGAAGTAGACAACCAGACAATCACTTCTCGATTTTTTCTAGCAATTTCGAACATTTACCTCAGGCCATTTCATTAATATCAAATTCTACAGTGTCTCATATTCAGTATAGTCCTATTGTAATATTCAGACAAAAAAAATTACTGATTTTTAGCTAATTAGCGTGAAGCCAAAGTCTTTTTTTCTTCAAGATTCAAATCCAGCAGTGACCCAGTGCCTCCAGGATTCTTTCTAAATAGTAGTTTGATATTAGAATATGCCTGGGAGTTAAAGGTGCCACCAGGTTGTTTTTAAGCAACTTTTGGGAGCAATCACCGGGAAATGAGTAGCAACTCTGCCAGCGAATGATTGCTGTCGTCGTCTGCTACCATTATCCATGCTAATTGCTTATACAGTCCCCTTCCCCCAATGGGGCTCGAACGCAAACATGGTGTGAATCCCCACTAACCTGGAGTGGAGCTAGAATTATTATGGGAAAGAATTAAAGAAAAAGAAAAGAGCAAGATTGTAACCTAAGGTTATGTGGCATGAAAGCGTCTGTCATGTCGTAAAATAATGTAGGAAAAAACATCTAAGGAAAAATCTGCCCCTGTTTCATCCCTTGGCTGTAAACACAGACAACAGTCGGGTGCTGTTACAGGCAGGAATCATCAGTACAGCCCACTAAATCAAACTGTCCAGGACTTCATTTCATGTAATGCGGGTAAGAAAACCTGCTAAAAATTTTTAAGAAAATTCTTTCCAAACATCAGTAAATCAGAATCATATTTGTTTACATATAAAAACTAAAACTTGCGCTTAAAAACTCGAACTAACTTTATGGCCTGCCTGGCGACAAAATGAGCAGGTGACGGTAGCACTTCCTTGGTGTTCGGTAGTTGGATGAGTGCCGGATACAAGAAATGGAAAACACTTTCGGCCGTGAAGCATATCATATGAGCGGATAAAAGTGAGCGTAGTTCCATTGTTGTTGCAAGTGGTGATACCAGTGGAATACGATTCTGGGTCGGTGACATTGCTGCAAATTTGGAGCGCAATTCCATCAGCAAAAGGCCTGCTTTGTTGCCCTGGAAAATTGCTAAAGTAGCTTTGAATGTGATGATCCGGAAAAAGCTTTGCATAAAAATTTTCATGGATATAACAAATCTGAGAAGCCTTCCCTACAAATCGTTTTTAGGGTTTTGGAGAAAATATGAAAAAAAAAAGATGAAAGGGTTGTAAAGAATTATTCAAGTAGGTAAGAAATGTTTCGTATACATTAAGTCGTATACATTTCTTACCGTTACCACATTTGAACCTCGTCAGTACGACAACTGTGGTAACAATATAATTTAGTGAGATGTAAGAATTAAACAGATGAAAGAGATGTAAATCGGAAGAAATTAAAAGGGCAGAAGAATTGGAAGATTTTAAAGAGATAGAAGAAATGGTAGGGTTTATTCGTTTCGATGGTAAATTGGTACTGGTGCATACTAGGGGGGCTATAGCCACCATCAGATTGCTAATAAGCAACTCTCGAAAGAGGGAGCCATCGACAGTACTCCAGTGGCTGGTTGCTGTTAGCAATATGCTACAGTTCAGACCACTTTCGAGTGTTTTTGGGCTCTGAGAAAGAAACAAACTTTAAGATGAGAAAGCGTTGAGGCGGGTTTTGCGCGTTCGGTCATCCAGTCGATCAGTGTGCTTGGATGAATGTATCGTTTTGTTAATAAATGTTGCAGTTCGAATTCATCGGCTGCTGATGTCCATGAAGAATCACCATCCACGTAATCAATCAACAGTGCATGCCCCGTAGAAAGCAGCAATTGCTGTAAGGCCTCATTTTTTGTCATCTGCAAAACTGGGATAAGTTGATCGCTCATAATTTCATTATTTCCCCCCCC